ATGTCTCAATGCTTGATAACAATGGAACAGTACACCTTTTTGCACTCATAACTGACCAACAACACTTTTGAAGAAGTTAAGTGTTGTACTCCCCAAAGTCAGTGGCCAGACCTAATTTGGTTTATGTTAGTTTCTGGGCTAGAGCAAAGGTAATGGCAGTGATCCTTCTGCATCTGCTGAGAAGTCGAATTGATTGATTAGTATTGAGCCTATCTGTGTGAAAGCGTCATGACATCAACAGTTTTACAAACATCATGAGAGAACCTAGTAAGCCTTGGCCACTCACTGATATCCTGTGGGACTGTGTTGCATTACCAGGATGAATCAGTAGCCGAACCTACTTTTGATAGAACATGAGCTCATTGTATTGAATGAGTTTAAACCACTGTGTATTTATTCCTCTCTTGTGGCCTATTCAAAGCTACAACATCGAACCTAGATGCTACAGATACTGCCACTTTCAGGATGAGCATGTCTTTCTAACTCACGTGATGCCACATTATCTTGTTTGGTAATCTCTTTACAAACTTGTCAATAAACATATCCTGATGATTTGTCAATGTTATAGTGGGATATTCCTTTCCATTTAAGCACAGTGTAATCAACCAAATATTTGGTAGAATCCCTCTTTCATGATAGTCTGACTTGAACTTATCTTGAAGGTATAGCTCTCCTTCCCACTGAGTCCCAGTCACTAAGTTGCTCCTCACTGAACTGCTTGATCAAGTCTAGCACCAAACTTTTGAGATTTAACATTAAGTATGCACTATCTGTTCTTGAGTCCAACCACTCTAAGAAGTTACCTGCTTGAAATGCTTCGATAAATAATTCAAGTCTTCTTTAGCCACACCCTTGCTACTCACCAGTTTACTTAGTTAGGTTGCGTAATAGTTCACATACAATTCACTGGCAAACGTCACTTTGCACTAGCTATAGGATAAACAAGAGGGAATCCTCAATAGCCGCGGCACTGGAAATTCTTTTAGGCAGGATGAGAGTAAATGAATCTATGAGACCTTTTTTTTTCCTTTTTATTAGCTATATTTTTGTGCAACAGCAATACCAAGCGTATACCCGATTCAATTTTATTATACATAAGGATATCTACCGGCCTACCATCAAATTGAAACTATTTGAGGCAGGACTAGAATAAATTTATCTATGATACCTTGGGCTTGATCAAACACATAAATCGAAATTGTTTGACCTCCCGAGTCCAAAACTGTAATTAGATCACAAATCGGTCAAGAGATGACGGAGCTATGAGCTAAAAGTTTGAAACTCGGAGCCTTCCAGTGGCACAGCAGCATGTCTGTGGACTTACAACGCTAGAAATCGGGCTTCGATACCCGTGATGGGCAGAGCATAGATAGCCCATTGTGTAATTTTGTGCTTAATTACAAACAAAAAAACAATTATGACCCGCTATGCCGCGGGTAGAAAAATAGAACACAATATAACAAACTCGATAAACCCTTCTTTTTCAGAAGTTATACTGATAAGTTGGGTGTTTTCAAGAGATGGATAAGGAGTGAATTAAATAATCCGAGAACTTTCGGAAGGCAGGCCTTCCAAAGGAAGGTTCTCCCGAATTATCAATTCTCTTTATTATGAGAGAAGTAATTTCAATAATTTAAACACCCTTAGTTATACAACATTTTGACATCTGAATTCAAGTCAGAATATTGTGTGACATTAATAGTGTTATCAGACATCCCAGTAAAATATTAGATTTTCCCAGTTTCTCCGTACTTCATTGCAAGTAGATTATATACCATTTGTCATCATACACGGATCTTTCAAACTTTACATGAAGAATCATCTGATAAAGACAAATAGTACTACACAGTGTTAACATAACATTTAGGGACAACAAACGACCTATTGGTACATCTCGGATGTCCCATCCTCTAAACTAAACAAAATCTATTACATAAATATAAATAGGAAACCCCTCAAAGCCACCCCTTATAATTCATATAGTTATCAAGCTTTCTCTGAAACTCACTTAAATTTACTGCCTCCAAAAAATCTGAGGCAACCCATTCCAAAGGCCAACCAGGCTGTTAGAAAAATAACTGTCTTAGTTGAAAATGAGTCCTACCGTGCCCAAATGTATATTTTGGTTCCCTAGTCTTTCCATTCTCACCATTTAGTATGAAGAAAGATGATACATCAACAATATCAATTCCCTTAACAATCTTAAACACTTCAATCGGGTCTTCTCTAACTCTTCTTTTTTCAAAACAAAACAATTTCAGAGATCTTGTATGACAACCCCTCCATCTCAGGCACCGTTCTCGTAGCCCTTCTCTGAACCCTTTCCAACAATTCAATGTCTTTCCTAAGGTAAGGAGCCCAAGACTGAACACAATACTTCAAATGTGGCCTAACCAGTAACCTATATAATGAAATTATAACTTCTTTAGACTTGTATTCGATATTTCTTTAGATACAACCTAAAATCCTATTTGCCTTACCACTAGCAACAACACACTACTTGGATTGCTTTAGAGACTGATCAATCATTACACCGACATCCCTTTCTTTCATGACACTCTTAAGGTTATTCCTATCCAAATTATACT